GTATTATATTTATAGACAGGAACTAATATGCTTGCTATGTTTTTGTCAAACTGAGAATATCAAAATGAGAGAAAACATCTACTATTATCAATATATTGTTATTTAATTGGCAATCAATTAATTTTTCATTGGGTAATTGTTTGATAACTTTGGGCACTTAGTATTGCAGAGAAAAAAATGGACCAAGGAAGACTTAGAAAGAAAACCTAAACTCTAACAAACAATACAAAAAAATTACACTAAAAATTAGAGACTATTTTAAAGAGTATAGTATTTCAGCTATATGTTATATCTCCTAATTCTATTTTTTTCCTTCTCATTTCCAGTCTTTGTCATGTTCTTGTTTTGTGTCATTATCACAGCACCAGCCACTCTGCTGTGTTGGTCCATACCTTATCCACATGCCCCAGCCTCATGTAATTTATCATCAATAGCCAAATATCAGAATCCTTCTATGGCATACAAGGATTCACAATTAACCTCAAGACACCTCCTCAGATTATCTCTTGTACTATGTAGGTTTAAAACTTAGCAAACCTCTTTCCACAAACTGATGGCTGAAAGGTACAGATAAGCAATTAATATTCAATGTGGTGAGTCACATGATAGAGAGGTAAGCTTGAGGAATAATAGAAAATAAAAGGACAAATAACCTTAACTTGAAAGTCTGTAACTGAAGACTAATGAGGCTATTTCTTCTCTCATTCTCATTTTATATTATCCTTATTTTATTTTTTCTTTGTGTTTAGGGGTATTCTTTCCATTTGTACAGTGAATTATGACTCATATTACTGTATTTGGTTTAGTTGTTGGTTAACAATCTATTCTAGTGAACAAACCACCTTAAATTAGAGACGTTTTAAAATTATCCTTTGTCCTTACTTCTTGCTCAATGAACAGCTTCTGACAACAACTCTATTCTATGTACTACTATTAATGAGCAAATAATTCTGATTCATCTTAACACTGAATTTTAAGATTGACTTAGGTTTGTTAGTTTATCTGACATATGCCATTACGCCCTTCTGAATAAAATGCATACAATATTCAATTATGCCTCGTAGAAAACAGTGTGCATGGTGGCATAGCGGCTATTACCTGTGTATCTTTGGAAGACGATCAGATATGTCTTATTAATTGTATATTTGTCTCACTGTGCTATTTCCTTTATTGCTACCAACCATAGCACTTCCGACATACTTGGATAAATATGAGTTGGGAGCTAGTGGCTAACAACTGTAATCTTAGCTACTCAGAATGCTGAGGATCATGGTTGGAAGCCAGCGTGGGAAGTAAAGTCCCTGAGACTTTTATCTACAAATAACTACCAAAAAGCTAGAAGTGGAGCTGTAGCTCAAGCCTTGAACAAAATGCTCAGGGATAGTGCCCTGGCCCCAAGTTCAAGCCCTAGAACTTGCACTAGAAAAAACAAGTAAATAAAAACTACACACATACATGTGTGTACACATATATATGTATATATATTTCATATATTACTGTATCATCATATAGTACTGTATCATCCCTCTGTGAATATAAAATACCTTGTGCCTGCTTTATGATACATAGTAGCTGTTTTTATAGTTTTCTTTCCAGATGATGATTGAGAAGCTAATAAAAAAAATGATGCCATGTACCACGCAAGTAACAGAACTTCACACTTCTCTGGGTTTTGATTTTATCTTTTTTTTCTTTTTATTAATGGATTTGCTGGAAGTCTAATTTTGTCCAGATGACTGCAGAACCTGGAAAAGCTGTCACTGCTATTGATATATAACATACTGCTATCATTGGTCTTTTTATATAAATTTATTTGCATATATATATATATATAATTTGAATTTTTGGAAACTTTAGCTGTGCTGTCAACTTTGAAAATGTATCCCAGTATACCATATTGAGTTGGAATTGTACAGAAATTAATAGCCATATTGATCTAGAAATGCTAAACTTAATTTTTTTCATTTGTACAGGAGTAAAGGCACTGTATTAAATATGTAAAGTCTTATGGACATGTGATTGATTATAGAAACTAATATTTTCCAAATAAAAATATACACATATAAGTATGTATACACATATGTATATATCTATAAATATATTTTCATATATTATTTTATTTTCTATAAGTAACAATAACAAATATCTGTATATAATTTAAAAAAATACAGCACCAGAATCACTGGTAGTTAGAAATGCAATTTAAAGAAAACGTTAAATCTAATGTCTTCAAATTTTGTCTATCAAGAAAACAAGTAAAAGCATAGTAGGCATTCTACAGAAGATTATTTCTGTAGGATATTCAATGAAATAATATAATCTATTCACTAAGATTTCCTTTTTCATGAGAATTACACATTATGAAGCACAAAAATATAAATAAACATGCCAAGAAAAGAACATAATTTCTCACTGACTGATTTTATTTGTTTTGTCATGTTGATCTTATTGTGATTTTACTAAAAACAACTGGAATAAGAACTTATATTTTTGGTTTTAGAAAACTGAGCCCAAAGAATAAGGATCTAGAATTTTGCTATTGGTATATGGACAGGATATGACCTAATCATTATTTTCAGTAAGAAATCCACCAGATATTATTGGTTCATGCCTGTAATCCTAGCTACTCAGGAAGCTGAGATTTGAGAACCCCCACTTGAAACTAGCCCAGGATGAAAATATGTGAGACCTTTATCACCAATTAACACCAGAAAACTGGAAATATAGGTATGGCTCAGAGTGGTAGAGCACTAGCCTTGTGCAAACAGCTCAGTGATAGCACCCAGGCCCTTGAATTCCAGATCCATGACCAACAACCCCTAAAAAGAACAACAGTCAATAGACACATGAAGAAATCTTCAACATGAAAGAAATGCAAATCAAAACAACAATGAGATTCCATTTCATTCCAGTTAGAATGGCCATTATCAGGAATACTAATAACAGATGGGGCCAACTACACTGTTGGTGGGAATGTAAACACGTTCAACCACTCTGGAAAACAGTATGGAGGTTCCTCAAAACAATAAACATAGAGCTCCCTATGATCCAGCAATCCTACTACTATGCATTTACCCAAATCACTACAAACAGCCTGAAGTAAAGCCACCAGCACAACCAAGTACACTGCATCATTATTTATCATAGCTGAGATATGGAATCAACCCATGAATGAATCAAGAAAATGTGTTATACAGTGGAATTCTGTACTTCGATCAGAATGAATGCCCCATTGTAAGGAAATGGAAAGACTTGAAACAATCATATTAATCAAAGCCAGACCCAAAGAAACATAGTCTACACATTTGGTCAAAGAGGACAACCATCCCCGATATAGGATTATGGGCCTTTGGTCAAGAGAATACAAGTAGCTGCACTCCCCTGCTAGAACCTCCAAACAAACTCTCAAGAATCTCATGGACTTTCCTGCCTGGGCTGGCTTTGAACCTCCATCCTCAGATCTCAGCCTCCTGAGTAGCTAGGAGGTGTGTGCCACTGCCACACAGCATTAAGATTTTTTAATAATACATAATTTGTCTATTTATTTTACAATACTTCAAATATGTACAAGTAAGTTTATATTTTATATAGTAACTTTCTCAAAATAATTAGACTAAAGATTATTAGACTAAAGAATATTTCCTTAACAAGTAAATATTTCCAATGCTACTCCTGGATAATGAAGGAAGGTTTAAATGGATGGGAATACATTTATTTCAATAGATAATAAACATTTTTATAGTGTATGTTTTTTTAAGTAGACAATGTGAAAAAGAAAAAAAGGTATTCAAATTTCCCTAAATTTTGTGTGATCTGAGTTCCTAATTTTATGCTTATAACTTTGACAGCTCTACTGTGGCTTCCCATTCATTTTGTCAGTTCTATTTCACCATTGTCTAATAATCTTTTTAATCAGATTTACATATCTGGCTTTTCTTTACTCGGATTCCTGTGACACTGACATATTTATATCACTGATATAAATTAAAATCAATTTTAAGTCAATTAGTTGGCTAAAATGTGAAAACTTTTTGTAAAGTAAAATGATAATGTTAAATAAATACTATAATCCCAGAGAGACAACTTGTACATATATGCAATATTTATTTGAACAAAAATAAGACATGAAATCACTCCTCAAATGAAACTAGATGTTTAAATATGTAATTATTTCTAAGCAAAAAAATACTGTAAAGATAAAAACTGCTTGTATTTTATATTTTTAGTTTATATGTAGGCTCAGTCCAAATAAACAGCAGTCTGGAGGGTATGAGGAACTTATATGCACTTGCAATTATTGAAATGGTAAAAAGAGACCTTTTATTTTTTGGCTTTTTATTAAAATAAAAATTATCTGTGGCTTTGTGTTTAAAATCAATTAACACTTAAACTAACAGGAAACAATTCTTGTGAGATGTTTTAGAAAGAATAGGAAACTTATTCACACTTAAAGGCCCTCAAAGGTAATTTTCCAACTTAAAAAGGTTTTGTTACAGAGTGCGCATTGGCTTGAACCTCTTTCATTGTTCCTGCCCCTAAATTCCCATCACAGCTGATGATTAAAGTTCTACCCACTGGCCAGGTCCCTACAATTATCCCATTGTGATGGCGCTCCATCGTGGCGCCCTGCTATGGCCAGACATCAAGTCATTAGAGAGCGGCCAGGGATGATGAAGAAGGTTATTTTAATTCCCTTTTCAGCCCTTCTCAGGAGTGGCTCTTTAGTTCACAGAGCTATGGGTACTTGCTTTCAAACTAACAAGCAATATTATAAATGGAGGCTTCATTATCATGATTGCAGACAATCTAAGGCACTTGAAGGCCAAGGATTCACAGTCTGTAGTATGTGCTGTTGTGTATCTATCAGCTAAAAATATATTGACAGTACAAACAGTAAAAGGAGGAAAACGCAAGGGCAGAGTGGAGTGGAGGAAGGATAGTGAACAATAGAGAAGGGAATGCAGCCCTAGCCATTTTGTTGGTAAATCAAATACTTTTACCCATTTTCTTGCTGTTCCGCTGTGTAATGTTCCAGCTCTGTACCCGGAAGGGGCTGAACTGGGGGAGGAGGTAGAGGAACATTGGCCCAGGTTGATCCATTGTTCTTCTGTGGTTTCGAAGAGTTTTTATTTTTCTTCTTTTTTCCACCTTTTCCACCTGAAAGTATAATGCATGAGTTCAAGGTTGCTGAATATAACAAGAAACAGAGACTATCAGATGGAAAGCTATACCCTATGTTTTCATAATGTTAGAGATGGTTAAAGAAAAAACGTAACAAGGAAATAACATAATCTGAAAAACAGGATTCAAATCAGTCAAAATGATAGTTTCTTTCCTAATGCATTAACTACAGAGAGCTGAATATCAAAAGAATATTTATTGATTTATTCATCTATTCTGCTTCCTTTTTCATTGTCAAGTGAAATAATGGTCCACAACAATTTCTTAAAATGTCAGATTTTAGTGCATGTATAATGCTCTTTTGCATCATCTCTCTCAGTGGAAAATTCTAGGATCCAGGTTGAAGTTTTCCATTAGAATTTACTCAATTAAAAGAAAATTACTCAACCTGATTAATCCAAGAAAATAACATTTATTCCCTTATAAATCATTCATAAAAATCAATTGGCTACATTCCAGACAATAGTTGTTAATGAAAGGATCAGTTCGTATATAGTGAAAATAGTTCTCAACTATTTTAAATAACAGCTTATAAAATTCCAAAGAGATTAAAAAGAGTAACTTATTTCCAGTATTATTTATAAAACAGATAATAACATGCACAAATTTGAAAAAAGTCAGTAGTACATAATCATATCTAAGACTCCACATAGAGCTCCCTTATGACCCAGCAATCCCACTTTTGGGCATTTACCCAAATGTTTACAAACAAGACCACACTAAAGCTACCAGCACAACTATGTTTATTGCAACATTATTTACTGTAGCTAAGATATGGAACCAACCCAGATGCCCCTCAGTAGACGAATGGATCAAGACAATGTGGTATATATACACAATGGAATTCTATGCCTCCATCAGAAAGAATGACATTGCCCCATTTGTTAGGAAATGGAAAGACTTGGAAAAAATTATATTAAGTGAAGTAAGCCAAGCCCAAAGAAACATAGGTCCCATGGTTTCCCTTATTTGCAATATCTAGTATATGTATGAGTCAAGCAGAAAAGGTCAGATAAGGTGATATAGGAAAATGAACCCTAAGATATGTACTTAAATGTTTTTTTTCTTTCATGCATTTGTTTCTAACGCATTTATAAGATTATTTCTTAGTTGCTTTGTATGTCCCTTCCCCACACTATAACCCCTGCTTTCACTGTATTTGATGTCGGTATAATTTGTGGAGGAGAAGGGGAAAAACAAGTCATTTAAATAAGGATACAGGTGGACTCGTTGCAACAATGAGAAGTACAAGTTGTTATGTGGAAAACGAACTTTACAACTTTGGTGGAGGGGGCAGGGAAAGGCTGGGAAGGGATGGGAAGGGTAAACAAAGGAGGAGGCTACAATGCTTGATAAGAAATGTACTCATTATCTTGCCCATGTAATTGTAACCCCTCTGTACAGTATTTTCACAATAAAAAATAAATAAAATAAAAAAAATCTAAAAAAACCTGAAAGATTATTTTCATAATGCCATGCTTTTTATTCTTCCAAAATTAAGAAAATAAAACTTGTTTACAAAGCACATGGGCCACATGTGGATTCAAGAATGAATGCTTCTTTAACAGAATGTAAATGGGTGCATCTGGGATATAAGTAACTTTCATTATTCTCATCTCAGTCTATAGATATTTATGCAAGATGTGCTATTGACCTATTGTGCTTCATCTTTCTGGGACTAAAAGTTATGAATATAAAACATTTACAGTATATTTATCTAGTCATGGGAAGTCTACTCATTTTCTTTCTTATCATTTACTTCTGAACAGGTATTTTATTTAATAGTAATTCTTTCCCATTCATGGTATCAGATGTTTTCCATATAGCATGTACACCTACACACATTCCTAATCCCTGCAAACAAAGTGCTTTACCCATTTGACATCACTTCTTATCATTGTTAGAATTAAAGATATTTTGAGCAAATAGAGTAGATATCTTCTTGTGAGCTGATAAGAATTTGATTTCTGTTTTGGGAACTTACTTATTTGATAAGTTACCCAATGGACACCACATTATTTACTACTACTACTACTACTGCTGCTGCTGCTGCTGCTGCTGCTGCTGCTGCTACTACTACTACTATGAATAGTTGAGTTATTGTAAGGATCATAAGAGATAAAGCACATAAAACTCTCAAAAAGTCCAGATTATATCTATGGCCAAGCTTCAAGAGCATCAGACAAATATGATTTCAAAAGCCAAGCACCATCAGGCTTACTTATTAGCTATTTGATAAGACAAAGTGCACAATAAAGGTCAGTTAATACTTCTCTCCTTCCTCTGTCTTAAAGAAAACCCAGCTTCTAACCCTCTAGTGATTTCTCTGCACCAACTTCTTCAAGCCCAGAGAGTATTACAGAAACAGTGCTCTATATAATAAATGAATCTTAAATTTTTGTTTCTTTAACTAAAAAAAAAAAAATAAAACTATAGGTAAGTCTCACAGACAAAATCCTTTCTCAGAATATCAGAACTATGTTTTAATTATTGTGTAAAGAATAGCTTGAAGTCTTCGTTTTCAGTTTCCCATGAGCTGTGTCTCATTTATAGTTCTTGTCTTTAAGTGCATATGAGTCTTTTCACTTAGAGTAGCACTTTTAGAAACATCTGATCAGCTTTGGAATTGAGTGACTTAAACAGAAAAGGTGCCACATCACCATTTTCCTGATGAAACCACTGAAGTCCTTTCTGTGTGGTACATGATTCACACTCTCACAGTAAGAGAAAAATCACAATTTATTATGCAACCACATTAACAGAAACTATTTGCCAGTGCCACTTGGCTCACTCCTGTGATCCTCACTAGGCAGGAGGCTGAGATCTGAGGATCACAGTTCCAAGCCCGCCCAGGCAGGAAACTCCATAAGACTCTTATTTGTAATAAACTACTCAAAAAAACTGGTGGTGTGGCTCAACTAATAGGGTGTTCCTACTGAGCAAAAAGAAGCTCAGGGACAGCACCCAGGCCCAGAGTTCTAGTCCCAGGATAGGCAAAGGAAAAAAAGGAAAGAAGAAGAAGGAAACAAAAAAAAAGTACTATATGTAGAGCTCTGAACTCTCCTTCAGTCTTTTGTTTAAGTCCTTCTTTAAGGACATATATTCATTACCTACTGCTCTAGATTTAAACATGTGGCCTGGAAACAAAATGCACACAGAATTTTCCAAGGGTTTTTAAAGTAGTATCCATTTCCCCCTGTTTTTTTAAAATGCCTATTGTCTCATTTGAACGGTCTGGTTAGAAGTGTTTGCAAACCCATGTTCTCTTAGCAATGAGCTAAGTGATAGAACCTTAGCATAGTGGTGGTTATATGACATAACCTAAAGGAGATCAGTTCTCCTTTGGGTCTGAATCTTTAGGAATGCTACAGCCTACTGCAATTACTGTAGACAAAGAATGCTCTGTGATTTTAATGGGAGAAATGCCTTCACAGAGATTAAGACAGCATAGTTTCATGCCTTGCAAACACATCTGATCCCTGTCTCTTCAACTCAAAATGTAAATATTTTGATTTTCAAGACATTATTTCTACAGAAAGAAATTATGAAAACATCTCATTTTAAGATGAAATGTATAGGGAATGGGGACATTGCTCTGGGAGAGAGGACTTGTCTAACATGCATGAGATCCTCAGTTTAACCAGAGCTTTATCACTGCACAAACAAATTAATGAACATATGGTTTATTTTTTAAAAGATATACTAAAATACTTAGTTATTGTTAAACATATATATACATACACATATGTGTGATAATAATTTCAGAAAATATTTTGAAACTTCTTGAGATTCAGTTTTAAAAATTGTTTTTTAAACAGAAATTCTCAATATTTATGCACTGAATCAATTGTAAGTGTTTCAAAGAGGGTAAAAAGTTCACTCAAATAACTCAAAATGTCCAGTTTTATTTATTACTGTGATTATTTTAAATTGGTTACATTACTGTGCACACATTAAGGAAATCCTATAGTATGTTACCATTAGCTAGCCTTTGGGAAGTTTGGTCTTGAATTTGAGACTTAGAAAACAAACCTATGGATATATGAACAGTAAAATGAAATATTAAGCTCAGTTGGAGTATAAACTCAATATTAAACTAAAAAAGGATAATCACTTCACTCAGCTATTGAAAAATGCTTTCTATCTCCAATTTAAGTAATTTTGTATTCAAATGTAGATGAAGTAGTTAATATAATTCCTAGATATATATAAATGTCACTCAAGAGATAAATGCATTCAAAAAAGTGGCAAGCACTATTGTGAAACCTGTTCTGCTTACAATTACTCAAAATATAACTTTTTAAATCCAATGGCAGTCAATCTATACAAAGTACTTAATGATAGTTTCACAGGTATTATAGAATTCATGGTGTAGAGTATGAAGATTTCTTTTTATGCATTTTTTGATCTTTACATATCTTTAATGAAATAAAAAGGAAGCCTCAGGAAAAGAAAAACACTTTTTAATTATTCAGAACAATTGTGGGACTAATTATACATAAGTGACAGCATAAATGACATATAAGGTCATTCAAAAAGTTCCCCTATATTATTAAGCCAGTTTAAATTCATAACAGATGTTTAAAATTTTCTTGATTCTATCATGCATCAAATTCTACCAATAGGCGAGGAGAGTAAATGACTCATTCTGGAGGGAAGAGAGCATTAACATTTTCAGTTTGAGAGGGTTCTATCTCCTGAGGAAATGTAATTTAGTAAATGTAACCCTAATAATGTAAAATTAGTTAACTCTTTATGATCTTTATGCCCAATAGTATGTGACATCCCATCTTGAGATAGCACACTTTGATGTTTTTCTATTCAAAGGAATTTTTTAAAAGAAAAACAAAAATATTGTAAAAATATAGCAAATATTTAATCTGAATATGTTAAGCAAGAAGGGTCATAAAATCAATTAAAATATAGAAGTAGTTATCAGCCATATGATGTAAATATTATGGTTAGAAGGTTACTAGAATGACCTCATTCATTTCAGTTGAATTTAGCTTTTGTTTTCAATGACAGAATTAGTTTTCATGTGAAATATTTGCCTTATAAATTTCTCTTGATGCACAAACAGGATTCAAGGCAGAACACATTTACCTGTTTTTTTTAAATTAAAAATATTATTGTAAAATGGCATAGTTTTCTAACAAATATATCACAGTTTAGTTAGTTCATAAGAGTTGATGGTGATTTTTATTCTTCCTCTACCGCCTCCAACCAAAGTTTAACTTCATTAGGATCAACTCTTCTTGTGACTTGAAAGAGAAATGCCTGATAGGGGGTTGTGAGCCAATAGTATTTCTTCACCGGCTGTTAGGAATACAGGTCATATGCTGGTGACAAACAAAAGATTTCACCTTACTGTGATGAGACCAACCTGAAAGACTGCCACTCCTTTCTGAGCTGTTGTGAGAGCTGGTGGTGCTGAAATCCTGTGACTGGTTGTGTGGCATTCTATTAGACAATCCCTCAGCCAATCGGTAGTCAGGGATGTAAAGTAAGGCTAAGGGTTAAAGGGCAAAGGTCATAGTGGCATCATGTGATTAGTTCACAGCACAAGCCCATGCAGAACATGCAGTTAGCAACTCAGAAGCAGATGTGGGAAAGTGAAGGAATGTTTGGTCTATCCTATCCTAATGGAAGTAGAGATGGATTGTTGATTACTAGTTGAAAAAAATTGCTGGAAAGAATGAAACTGATCGGTGTTGCTGTGCAGTGGCGGTGGCGATGGTGGTGGTGGTGGTGGTGGTAAGAACTGTTCAAGGTATTCAATACATGCCAAAATAGTGTTTTAGTTTAGGTAGTAAACCTGGGAATGAATCACAAAATTGAACAACAAACACTAATCTCTATCTCATGCACAAATGGTGTGAAATTCACTTCTCAAGAGATAAGAACCTGACTCACCATTGTTACCTTTGTTCTGATCAGGCAGAGAATAACCAAATCCCATCAGATCGGTTTTCTGCTGGACAGAACTTTTCCATTGTGGATCAGGCAGATCAACAGCCAGTTCATGGATGCTATTGGAATGCAAGATCTGTGTCGTGGCATATGGGGTGGCCTGTGTTATTTGGCTGGAACTGTTGTACGTTGTTTTGGTAGTGAAGTCAATGCTGCTATAAATGGCGCCATCTGAGAGCATTGTTGCTGTTTTATCCCCTTGGCCTGGAACTGGTGGCAGTACATCTGTGACAAACATAGGGAAATGAAGCAATTTAACTATGCATAGGAAGATCAAAACTATCAGGACTGAAGATGAAAAATAAATGTGTCATGCTGCACGTTTGCATTTCAGCTGAGCTGAGCTTCATGAGCCAATGAAGGGTAGATGATATACAACCCATGGCCAACCTATCAACCTCAGTGACAGGCAAGCCTAGCACTTGTCCTTCACATTTCACTTCTCCAAGTCTCTTTTAACATGAATGAGAAGTTTGAGATAATTCACAATGGAAAACCACTTTTAGTTGTTTCACCAGTTTTAGAGTCAAGCCTTAGCATGTTAGACAAGCAATACCTAAAAGGAATCCACAAATCATGGATGCAAACACCTCTTTCCACTTCACTCCAAATGACAGAGTACAATTGCTGAGTACTTGCAAATACTATCCCTAATTATACTATTCTCATGATGAAATATATTTTTTCTGAAGTTCTGACTTGCCATTTATCTGATTTGATTTTATAGCTCTAGAAATGGAGAATAACTGATAGTAGAAAATGTGCTCTTTTTTCTTGGATAAGAAAGGAAAATTTTCATGAATAAATCATTTTCACAATACAGCAGGATTTAGCTTTAGAAAAGGCAATCTCAGTGATCAGTGAGTTTAATTTATGCTCTCAGCTCTTAGAAATGGAGAATTATAGTTTCACGTTGTAATACAGCAAGAGTAAAATTAAACTCAGGAACAACACTGAATATCAATCAGTCCATTTATCATTTTGGTATGCTGAATTACCTTTATATGATGCTTTATAATTGGGATCTGCCACCTCTCTCCTGAGCACTTATGTTTTCTTTTTCAGAAGAAAGATACTAAGTGATCTTTAAAAAATATCAACACTGATTTTAATCATATAGATTTAAAATAAGTATAATTATATGGCTTTCTTTAATAATAGATGCTCTGATAAATCTTACTTCATAGAATATGACATCACCAAATTACTAGATTTCTTCAGTTTAGGAAATTTTCATCTAATTTAACAAACTTAGACTTAATGGCAATTAATTGTTCTTAAGATAGCCATATTGTGTTGCTTTGCAGTGTATAAAAGTTAAAAATGTCCTTAGCAATAGTAACAAAAAGTTTGTAATATATGTTGTACATTGTTTAATTCAGACTAACTGGAGGTTTTTAAATCTGGAATTCTAATTTGTTTTATAAGTAAGCTGTGCATATACTTTGCCGAAGTAAGGACTTTAAATGTATTAAGGCTATTCAAGTTTATAACACTTCAGAATCTCACATTTTCTTGTCCTAGTGTAGCTAACTATTATTCACAAATATAAGTAGCATATTTCATTCTGAAGTAATAGCATCAGTTTTTTTGTTATTGTTTTTGGTTTGTTTGTTTGTCAGTTGTGAGGCTTGAACTCTGGGCCTGGGGGCTGTCCCTCAACTCTTTACTTCAAGGCAAGCACTCTACCACTTTGGCCATAGCACCACTTTCTGGTTTTCTGGTGCTTAATTGGAGATAAGAGTCTCATGGACTTTCCTGCTTGGGCTGGCTTTGAACCACCATCCTTAGATCTCAGCCTTCTGAGTAGCTAGGATTACAGGCACAAGCCACTGGCACTTGGCTCCACTAGCATTATGTTTTAGTCTCAAAATCCTCAACTATTTAATAATATACCCAAATTGGTGGAAATCAAATCTCTTGTCTGGATACATTTTCAGTCTTTTGTTTCTCCTCCCTGCATTCAATGTTTCATTATGAACATTAGTTGAACAAAAATGTTCCTTCAACATGGGACTCAGTTTCATACACTATGAATTTGAGATTCTCCAAAGCCTTGGATCTAGATTGCATGCAACTTCAAGTACAAGCTATTGATTTTTTCTGTGCATAAGTGATCAAAAGTGAGAAAATGTAGCCCAGTATCTAATATTACTCTGTAACAACTGAAGTATGGCTCTAGAAATAAAATGCTTTCCTGATAGATGAAATTATAGTCAGCTTTCAAGTCTAATAGCTTGTATTTTGATTTGGGTGGGGGCTGAACATTGTCTTCAAACATCATTTGATCACTGCTACAGTTTCAAAAGAATGAACTGTTTCCCAATTTGAAATATTGGAAGATTATACAGAAGTGTGTGTGTGTGTGTGTGTGTGTGTGTGTGTGCAGAAGAGGCCTATAACATCAGGCTGTTGGGAACGCTATGCCAACTCTGTTGCCTTGCTGGATCTGAATAGGTCTTCTCATTGTTAGGCAGTACTTACTTTATTCCATTTTTCACATTACTTTCTATTCCTTGCCTAAATGCTTTAGGCTATAGAGCACTTTTTAGTTTTTGTCTTAGAAATCCAAGAAATGTAAAAACATTGCCTTCTAGTGTGTACTTGCAATGCAGTTTCAACCATTTTGATTATACCTTCATTTAGGATTTATTTTATTTTGTATTATAAAAATGTATGTAGAAAATAAGTGGAGCTGTGGCTCAAGTGGTAGAGTTCTAGCCTTGAGCAAAAATGCCCAGGGACAGCACCCAGGCTCCTAACTCAAACCCCAGGATGGGCACACATACACAAAATATTTGTATGAATAACTGCTTTTTTCACAGAAGCTTAAGCTACTTGAGGACAGGTGCTAATATGACTTATGTCTACATTTTCATAACTCATCACCTAGCATTGTGAAGAAAGAAAGCAACTGCCACTAGAATGGTTAATTTTGTTTATATATTTTTATTTATTTTTTGGTCATATGTCTTGAACACAGGTCTTGGGTACTCTCCCTGAGCTTTGGTGCTCAAGGCTAACTGCTCTACCACTTTGAGCCATAACACTATTTCTGGGTTTGAGGTGGCTAACTGGAGAATAATCTCAGGGACGTTTCTGTCCAGGCTGGCTTCGAACTGCCATCCTCAGATCTCAGTCTTCTGAGTAGCTAGGATTACAGGTGTAAGCCACCAGTGCCTGACTCATTAATTTTTATGGTTTGTATTAACAAATGAAAAATGTGGTAATTTGTATTTTTTTGGCCAAAACCGCATTAATATTGCATTCAAACAAGTGTCAGTATTCCAGTATTAAAGATAAAAGATCAGAATCCTATTCTTAGAGAATACAGTTAGACATATGCATCTAGCTAAGATTACAGAGCAGAGAATAATGAAGACCTGAAGTTTTAAAATCTGTCAGATCAGCCCTCTATATCTACATCTCCAATTATTGGCAAACTTTTGTTTCTTGATTTTTAAATTGTTAATGTGTGGCACAACTTCTCAATTACATGAAATCATAAATGTAAAAAGGACAGAAATCTATGTATTATTTCTGGCACAAAAATAACAATGTTTCCTATGGACCTCATGCTGAAAGGGATAGAGTGAAACTTGCAAAATCTTACTTTTGACCTTCATGTTCATGTAAGCCTCTCTTGTCATGGAGTAAAAACGAGGTAGATATGGAACAAAAATCTTGCCAATCTACACATGTATATTTTTGTTAAGTTGCACCACGATACTTTAGAAGTCAATGTAACCTGCTAGAAACTGAAAGAATTTTGTTCATATTTAAGTATGTAGTTCTTGATAGGCAGACAAAAGGTTGTTCTTATTGACTACTAATACAAACCACAGAGTAAATATTCCTTAAAAGATAAAAAGCTTTGGGAATCCTATTCTATTGGCAGAGTCATTCAGCAAATCAGGAAGGGTGCTGTTCTTTCCTGGTGTAATGACAGTCTATAACAGCTCAATGTTTGCTCTTGAGCAGAGGAAACTTCATAGTTGCCTGTCAAGTGATTATCCTGAAGGAGGTATGTGGACTATGTAGAGGGAACAAGAAGTTGAAGAGACATGAAGTTTCCTCTCTAATGGCTTATTTTATCCACTGAGCACCGATCAAATGTGAAAGCTTTGTTTCAAACATTCATATCATCATCCATTTAATCCATTCCTACAATACTCTGGATGAGTATTTTATGCTTTATTGGAAGGGAGAATTTTGTGGTACATCATATTTGTGCAACAATAAATACTTGAAATACTACTTTAATTATATTCAGAAACACTCATAATATATTTTAAAGAGCACATGTCAGTATTCATAACTGTTCTACTAAGTATGGTTATATGCTTATACAATATGATTACGTGCATATGCAATGTACCCATATAACATTGGATCTATCCAGTAGGGATTTCACTACACTCAGAATAATTTATCACAGCCCTGTGTCTCCCAACTTAATTCTAAATATGTAAAAGTCTTTCAGTGTTTTCTTGCTTTGGATGACAGTAATCTCCTACTCACTCCAATTTCCTACTCTCTCATTCTATTTTCCACTCAGAAACAGACTGGGTGACTTCAAATAATGCTTAAATCCCGGCATTTTCCACATCAGAATCCCATGAACAGCTTTGGATTGCTTCTGAGTATAGTTTAAATTTTTCATGTGACTTATAGTATCTTGTTATCCATCTCTCTGTATTTTCTACCATCTCTGTTACTTTGAATTTTATATGCAAGTTATTAGCAAGTTAATTATTTAATTAATTTCTTACTTATTTGTGCCAAATTGGGAATGGAACCCAGAACTTAGGGCATACCAGGCATGAGTTAAGAACTCAAATGCATTCATTTTTTGTTCTTTTTTTGTTCACTAGTGGTTTGAACACAGAACCCTAGTCAAGCAATCTACCTCAAGTATCATATTTCCAATCATTTTCACTTTCAGCTATTTTTAAAGAAAATGTCTCTAGCTTTTATTTCCAGACTGGTCTTGGCCTTCAGTCCTCCTGTTTATGCCTCTAATAGCTGAAAACACAAGCACATGGCACTACTCATATCTGGTTTGTTGGCTGAGATGGTGCATTTGAAAACTCTTTTTGTAGGTTTTATATGAACTGCACTCCTCCTGATAGCTACCTCCTGAGTGGCTAGTCCCAACTAATTTCTTATTTTTTACTTTTTCTTTTTCTTTTTCATTGTGTGTGTGCGTGAGAGAGAGAGACAGAGAGAGAGAGACAGAGACAGAGACAGAGACAGACAGACAGAGAGAGACAGAGACAGACAGAGACAGAGAGAGAGAGAGAGTCTTGAACTCTGGGCCTGGGCGCTGTCCCTCAGCTCTTCAGCTCAAGGCTAATGCTCTACCACTTGAGCCACCAAGCCACTTCTGGTATTCTGGTGGTTAATTGGAGATGAGTCACACGGTCTTTCCTACCCTGGCTGGCTTTGAACCATGATTGTCAGCTCTCAGCCTTCTGAGTAGCTAGGATTACAGGCATGAGCCATGGTTGCCTAGCACAACTCATTTCTGAAAACCTCAATGTCTCTGCTATTTCTCAGCAATTTCTTCTCTACACACTTTTCTCATCTTTTTGCTTAATGCCTATCCTTTCTTCAGATACTAACATCCCCTTAAGAATGTTCTTACTCAAAATGGGCAGTGTCCCCCTACAGTACTGACGAAGCAGTTCAAGTTCATTTACTGTCTACAGTCCTCTGCCTCTTTCATACCAAATACTGATATCATAGACTCCTCTTTTAACTTTTTCTCAACTCATCTCTGCAACTGATTAGAAAAATAATTGGTAGTTTGGCAGGTGGGAGTAAATTATGATTCAAATATATTTCTTCTTAAAACATGGAGCGAAAAATCTAGCACAAATCATTGGAGGTGTTAGCATGCTAGGTCCTTCACACCATTTGATCTCATTTGAAATTCAAGTTAACAACTGCAGAAAGTTCTTTCTGAACATGTTGTCCAATTTATTAATCTGCTGTATTACATCAGGTTAAGGATAATCTATTGCCATACCAATACCCTATGCTTGGTGACTGCTGGAGAGCCATATATGATATATTCAATAAATTGATGTTTTAGAAAAGATTCAGAAAAGTGGAAGATATAGTTAAAAATCACAAGCCCTAATCAGCAACACGGTTTCCATAGATTGTACTAATACTCATGTAAACAAATTGTATTATGATCACTTACATTCTAGGTTAGTAAAGACTACCTGACAAACTTTGTTTCACTTAAGATAATGTAGATACGCTAGTTTTATAATAAAATATTTTACAAGAATACAACATTCATAAGCATATGTACTAATGATATCTTAATTATGGAAGGAAACACTCTCTACCATGCTTTCTTTTGTGAAGGAATTAGGAAAGTCAAGAACAAAAACCCAAATAAAAATTATATAATTTAAGAAAATACATAACTTACCTCCTCGCCCAAAATTCCCGATTTCACTGGGTCCACTGTTGCTGTTGTTTACTGGCAAGCTCGTGGCTGGCCACGAATCAGCAAGCCAAGGATAACTGGGATCGCCAGAATTTAGAAGACCTGGACGGCTAAAACCAAAAGGAAAAGGAAATTATCAGGTGATACAAAGATTCTCACACCTCTCTCCCACAAGACAAAGGGTGAAGGCATAAAGGAAGATTTTAATTGACTTCCAATTAAAATGTAAAGACTTAAGAATTAAGGAACCTTGATCTGAAGAGCTGAGGGACAGCACCCAAGCCCAAAGTTCAAGCCCCACGACCGACCAAAAAAAAAAAAAAAAAGAATTAAGGAACTTTAGCAGTTCATTACAGCTATATATAGATCAACCCTGTTGGTGGAAGCAGAGACTCCTTGCCTGGGCTTGTGCTGGCATCCAAATGAAATCAGTTGTCTGCCCCGAAACTGGTGACATAGTAGATCCTCAAACAAGGACCAATGACAAATTGACACCTCAAGGGAACCCCTGACATACCGGACTGTTCCATATCAGCCATTCCAGGAGTGTGGGCTATTCTATCCCTGATTCCTGCAGTTCCGCATGAAGCTGTGTCTCTAGGCTGCCAACCTTATTATGAGCCATCGTGTTTGATTTAGAAGCAAAGAACTTGAGGGAAATTAATGAATGGTACTTCCACTGTTCCATCAATAGCATATTTCACTCTTCTAAATTGCCAAATATCAAGAGTATATTTAAGGCAATAAAAGATTCACTATGATCTGATCTAGCATGTGAGTATACTCTGTAAGGAAAAGTTCTTTCACCTCAGATATAATACAGAATTTTCTTCTTTAATGTTAAAGACTGGATTTCTGCTTCCTTTACATATGATTAGCATATTTACAAAGAAATAGAACATCTATAATCATTGTACTTTTTATGATAGACCCCTTCTGGTACAAATCCCTAAGAGAAACATGTGTTTCTATGGAAACTGCAATAAGAAGATCCAACTGCTTTCTTGCTACATTCACTAGCTCTCATTAGACTTAATCTCTTTTTGCTAAAATATTGATTAAATGGGAGATTGGAAGTTATTACCAGAGCCTAATTACAATCTCCATATTGGCAAAAGGAAAATAGATGAGGATATATGGGTTTGTTATCAGCTTTTATCAATTTCAATTGAGTATCCAAAATTGTGGAATCCAGTCCTATCAATCTACAGCCTATTCATCATCCATGAATCATTTACTTTGTGATCGATTATGTGTAATTGTTCACTCACAGCAATTTAGGGAGAGCCAATAAGGAGTCTTAAACAACAGCAACTTCATTTGCTAATGTCTAATTAATGCAGTAAACATCCTGCTAACAAATGAACACATTCCTTGTGATATTTACTACTAATTTCTTCAGGGGCATCTGGGAGATATGAAACATCTGGACTTGATTCCTCTAAAGTGTACAACAGATAGATCATTAAACCTTTTGGTAAGTCACTTAATTCCTCCTAGATTCCTCAGATTTGTAAGTGATCATTTATTTCAATAATGGCATCCTACTATAGTTTTCCAGTACTGATTAATAATAATAAAAGGGTATTTTCTTAGAGTACCTTCCATTGCTCATTAGTCCTCCATCCCCTCTTTGAAATGTAACTGAATGACAAAAAAGAAAGACATAATCAATATTAATTACAATTAATAACAACTACATATTATACCCCAGTTTAGAGTCCAAACCTCTGGGAATTTTAACAAAATATAATTAATGTAATTGTACAGATAATAACAAGCAGTGATTTGGCTAAGGGCAAAGTTTTCACTTGCTCAAACTTTAATAGAATATTTCCTTTCTTCAAGCAAATGTATGCTTAAATTAAAGTGATAATTTATATTTAGATGTCAAACATTGCCAGAAGTATTAGGCACAGTGGTTATAGAACACTGCTGATGTGCGTTACCAAATCAAAACTTAACATAGAGACATCTTAATTAGAAGCCATTAAACAACACACAGACTACACACTAAAACAGTATTGTTCCAAAACCAAATATTCTTCCAAAAACCAAAGGAAAGAAATATTCACTGATTACATTTTTCTCTCCTTCATAGATCTGTGTAATTAAAGTTATCAGCACTACGAACTGAGCAGTGCAAATACAATTACAATAGGCACACACTAATTAATTCAGAATAAAATGCTCCTGAAAATGAAATTTGCACACCATAGATACTGAAAGGATTCCAATTGTATATAATAATAATCAAGTTCAAGTTTCCTATAAATCTATAGAATTTATTAACATCACCAGCAAGCCCATCATAGAGCTAAGGTAATGAATCCACTACCTTCCATCTATCAGTGGTTTCTGTTCCACACAACAGAAAACAATGAAAGCGGTGTCAAAGATTAGCCAGAGAATGTAAATATCAGTTCAATTTCAACATCTTCTATACAAAATGTTTATGACCAAATGTATTTAAACTTCAAAATAATTTATCAATAAGAGAAATAATATACGTTATATTCTACAAAACTATTTAGGACAGCCAACTGCGCTGGACAATAATAATTTGGCAGTCAAACTTGAATATGCCTAGGCAGTAGTGTAAAATCTTTACATCAGAAATTAGTATACATCAAATTTTGCCACTGTAATTTTTTTTGCTGGTTCTGGGGCTTGAACTTAGCATGTGGATGCTGTCCCTGAGAATGTTTTCTCAAGGTTAATGTTTTAATGCTTAAGGCACAGCTCCCAGGCTGACTTTGAACTGCAATCCTAAGATCTCAGCCTACTGCCATTAGTGCTCAGCATGCCACTAAAATGAAAGACAAATTTGTTTTTAAAAAGTATATAAAATTCCTGATTAAAGTACATTAAAATATGGCACTGTACTTGTGCCAAGATCAAGATTGGGCTACCAGAGACAAACCTGGAAAAATACTGACTCAAAATCAGGAATTTCTTCTAACTTTTGAAAAATCAAGAGCGTTCATTTGTAACATGTGAAAGTTCTTAGCCTAACTGAACAGTGAAAAGGTTCAGTTAGGTTTAGTTAAGAACTAAAAAATTTAGAATGGCATATAATTCAAATTTATTGCAATTTCATGGAAATATTAAAAGATTTAGCAAGGTCAGCACACAAAGTACTTTCAATATTATTTGACAGGATTAACCCTAACCTCATGCCAACCAGAACTACAAAAAGCAGGAGAAAAATACAACTAGGAGCTAAATTGCCATTCTGAGGTAAGGAAGTGTTTAGAATGCCTATCTCTACCAAGTCACCTTTCCTATTCTGAATGAAAACTATAAATGTTGCAGCCAAAACTCATTCCCCTTCCTGACAAACCATTGCTCAAGTATGAATGGAAATTAAACCTCTTTTAATAAGCACTAATTCAACCCAAATAATCAGAACATAAAAATTCTATCTAATCATTTGGCTGCTTTTGGATACCCTTGTTAAATAATTTATATGCCACCAATTTCTTTAAAACATGCATATGGAGTATTTAGAATTTTGTAAATTTGCTTGCTCATGCTAAACTGTTTGCATTTACTAAATTTTATGAAAAGTTTTTCCTAAGGAATAATCATAAAATACAAACTTTTGGTTTAGAAGTCAAAATATTTTGTCTTTATAATTTTGGCTGTCAATAATTGTAAATAATAAATGCTATATAGCATAACTTTTTAAAGACCCAAATAGTCTTCATAAAAATTACCATGCAGTAATATAGGTACACGTAATATATAGTTGCCAATTAGATTCATGAAACCACATAACCTTTTTTCAAATTTGTATTATTTATTTTTCTATTCATCAATACGGTAAACACGATCCAACATTTACTGCAAATAAAAATTCTAATATTTTCTGCCCAAACTTCTTTTTAATTCTGTTTGATCTCATAACAGCCTAGATAAATACATTCTTCCAATTATCAGGAAATCTTCATTTAGGGACAAGAGGATTTTTAGTGCTCAACAAACAAAGATATATAACACAGCCTACTACTCCAAGCAGGATGTCAGTTTCAGGAATAACTTTTGTTCTATCTGTCCTATTTGTCATAGGAACTGAAAAACTTAAGGAACTTGTGCATACAAGTAAGAGTTTAAACCATTACTGTTCTAGTATAAATAAGTTACATCCTCTGACCCCTAAAAAGTATCAACACTGAGTAGCAATCTCTCTTTTGCTTTTGTAAGTTTTTAATATAATTTCTATAATAAAGTTATTCAAAAAGCAGCCATGATAAAAGTCAATGAGCAATGCTTGTCAACATGAGTTAAGTGGAAGGCTTGTTGGCCATAGTTAAGTCTCACCCCACAAGACAGTCCTATGTCTACCACTAAGCATACTGTCTCTATTGTATCTCTGTTGGTTAAGAAGATACTTGGACCCAAAAAGTATGTGTCGAAGAAAGTTCTGAAATCAAATTTGATTAGCTTTACAATTCTATTTATTGTAAATCTATTAAGAGAACATGTCTTCTAATAAATGTGAATTATATCAAATGTTTATAGTTACAACTGGAGTTTTGAAAAATAATCTAGAGCTAAAATTATTTTATTATATATTTTCCTCTATTAGCATTAACTAGTTGTACAAGAAGGTTTCATTTTAACATGTTCATATAAGCATACAATGTACCCTGATCAGAATCATCTCCTTTGTTAGTCTCCCTCATCCCTCTGTTCCTTCCCAAACAATTTTCTTCTCAATAAGTTAAACTGTAAATTAGTTAAAAGGCTGAATCCAAATGGACTCTACTAAAAATCTTTTACTGCTATTATGAATCAGCAATTAGAGGTTATGAAGAGACTATGGATGTGAAACTTTATAAATACCTATTAGGTAATGAAAATATGAAATCTTTATAGTTTTCATCTTGTGAGTAAAATCACATTGCTTGAATATGACTGGACTCTGTTTTCATGCTTATAAATTGTAAGATTCTCAGAGCAATAATATATAAACTTTCTATATAAAACATGTGCAGAGTATATTCTACACAAAACACTTCAGAAAAAATAGTCCATCAAGTACTCTTGGTACTATTAAAATAATTCATTTTCTAATTTATGAAATTTCAGAAATATGAGTGCATGATTAACATGCATTCTACCATTCAATATTATTTAAAAATATCTTATGCTTTAAGTTGTAGGAAAATGTAAAAAGTTGAAAAAATGGAAAATAGGTTATTTGGATGGAAAATACGTAGTAATTATCACAAGTCAGAAATGTAATGCTACGTCCCTGTGGTTTGGAAAAATTTCCTTTGCTTCTCATTTGGAAGAGAGTAATGTTGCTAGAGGTGAATTACTAGCTGAAGGGAAATCCATTCTAAGATTCAACCCTCTATCAATTTTGAAAGACCTCTCTGTGACTTGGCCTTTTGCAAAAATATTTGAAAGGCACTGAACATCCTGAATTAGCAGGTTTTCCTGAAGCAGATGGGTCAATCAAAATGAGAAATGACAATAGGAAATGTACTATTTGTGTCAAGCTCAATAACCGATTGATGTTTTAAAATTAACGTCATAGGATTTGCAAGGAACAGTGAAAAATAAAAAGAAGAAAAGTCTTTCCAATGTATTTATATTAAAAATATAAACCTTCTAGTTATGAGAACTGTTTTATTTACAAGAAGTGAGTGAGGGCTGGGAAGGTGGCTCAATGGTAGAGTGCCTGCCTACCATGCATGAAGCCTTGGGTTCCATTCCTCAGTACAACATAAACAGAAAAGGCCAGAAGTGGTGCTGTGGCTCAAGTGGTACAATGCTAGCCTTGACCAAAAGAAGCTCAGGGACAGTGCCCAAGCCCCGAGTTCATGTCCCAGGACTGGCAAAAAAAAAGTGAGTGAATGAAGAAATTTGGAGGTTTAACTGGCACTAATCACATGAGGATATATTAGAACTCTGCTGTGATTTGAATGTCTATCTTCTAATATCACTAAAGTCACGTGAAAGGATAAATACATATTGTCCTTGAGTGAAATCAGTTTTTCCTTATGTTTCATAAGATTGTTATGAGTGTGTCAAAAATGAAATGCATCTTAATGATTAGTTAAATGGATAGGTTCATGGACACTGTTTTCAGAGGTGAATAGGAACTAGACTGCACATGAGAAAATGCACTGCAGAATGTGAATGTTGATTCTGACACTAAGAAGTTACTCTATTCAGTATCTGTTCAGGTATTTAGTGATATAGTACTGAGGTGGTGACAAAGTATAAGGAACCAGGCATTAAATAGCCTGAAAAGAAAATGGCAGACCTGTCATCCAACATGGAAACCACTGGCCAGTGCTTATGCTCCTTTCTCTAGTCCTTTCTGGAAAGTTATCCTGGTCAGAAGCCAAGAGATCTTATCTTCATATGATACAGATACACAATATTATCATCAAATTTCCATGTTTAATGCTGCCAGGTAACAAGCAAAACAATCAAGTGCTTCATTTTTATACTAACTAGACATTATTTTCAATCTTCTCTTTCTATTATTTGGAAAGAAGAAACAATTCTGAATAACTCATATTGATGACTGCTTTATTGCTTGTTAATAACAGAAGACTGAATACAGTATCTCAAAACTTTAAAAAGTGTTTTGGGGATGATGATAACTTAAATTTGTCCCCTTGAAAATTTTATAAAGTTTAAAAACTGAATGATTTGTATAGTGGTTGTGGTTAAATGAACAATCAAAATATATTGAATCATAAGTTAGTATCTTAACCACTATCTCTTTTCTGTTTCTGTTGGCTTCTCTTTCTTTCTCCCTCCCTCTCTCCTTTCTCTTTCTCTCTCTTCCTTAGAATTTCTGAAAGTTTTAAAAGCTATAATTTCTCACGTGCTTCAAACTCTGTCTTAGATCTAAGAAGAAAACAATTTTAAATGTCCAAAGATCATTTAGCATTTTCTCTGGTCACATTCATTTCCTGAATTGTTTCCCCTTTGCTTCCTTCTGCTTCTTCCTCCAAAAACATTTCATTTAAATGAATAGTAAATCTTGGAATTAATGTCTCATCAGTTGTTTTTTAAATTCTAGTGAGATTTTTGCTTATTATATTCTTTATTTGGGACATTTTCCAGGGTAACCTGCATTCTGACATAGTAAATGCTATTTTTTCTAATCGTTAGTGAGCATTTAAATAGTGTTCTTAACATTCTTCATAGAATGTCTTTTGACATTCTATATGTATATTCTATAAATTCTGTATGTGTGTGTATATATATGTGTGTGTGTATATATATGTGTGTGTGTGTGTGTGTGTGTGTGTGTGTGTATATATATATATATATATATATATGTATACTTTTGAAGAACAAGTTAGGGAAAACATATGAGCCTTTTATTGGCATGTATACTTGTTATACTTCACTGAACACAGAAGAAGAGAGATTGCCCGTGGTCAAAAAGAGATATGGTCAAGAGCAAGGCACTGAAGCATGCTGCTTATAATTGCATTTTACAGACCAGGTTCTTAAAACAAGCAAAAATTATTTGCTTCTTATCCCATTCCATTCCTCTTTCTCATTTCATTACATTCCTAAAGATAAGTAGTTCACATAGCTGAAAATAGTCTCTTACCAGCATAATTACTGAGACCCTTTCTCTTCTTTCTTCGCCAGTACAACCAGATGCTAAATCCCATCAAAATTACCCAGCAGGCACCACCAATACCAGCTATAAAGGCTGGTTGCTTTACGACATCAGTGATTTGTTCAGTTATGCTGTTGTTGTTCTCAGTAATGACAACTTCATTACGTCCCCCTATGGATAACACGATGGAGTTAGTATGGATTAAGATAAAGAAAGAAAGAAACATGTATATGCTGTGCTCAGTGCACAGGTGGTCCCTTCAAGCTCAGGTAATAACTGTTTATTTTTTGCTATTTTGTTTTGTTTTTACCTGCTCTTATCACAACTGCTGTTCAGCATTTTTGTGAGTGTATGAAGAAGAGGCAAATTATGTGTGTGAAAGTGTGGCTAAGAACATTATTCTTTTTGGTTTGCTATGGATAGATTCAGAACCAGTTCTTGATTTCTAGCCTTATATACAATGATTCAAACAAATACTCTGAAGTGAAATAACAACTTTCCTTGAATTAGGTTAAAAGTTACTTGATATCAGTATTCTAAAAGGAAGCAAATATTACTTTTAACATGAATTGATATGGCACTTCCCATATTCAAATGCTTGAGTTAAAGATTAATGTCAATTTATATTACCCTTAATAGCCCACCAAATATCTTATTCATACGATACTTTAATTTTTATAGCAAACTTGGAAACTAGTACATAAAATAATAATACCTATGAAAGCTTTCTTTCATAGAAATCAGTATGCATAATTAAAATTTCAGAGTATACATGAATGTGCTCCTATAGTATCTGAAACTAATTTGACAATCTATTTGAGCTCTGAGGGAAAAGACCGACTGTAACTAAAACATACATTTAAATTTGGATTAAGATTATTCTAGTGGTGGTTATGTGTATCACTTAGAGAGAATTAAGAAAAATCTCAATCTATCTTTAATAGAGTTTAAATTCAAGGACTCAACATATAATAAAAGAACAAAGACTTATCCCTTCGTTCATGAATTAAAAAGTTTAGATCCAGAGATTTTTATTTAAAGTATAAATATAAGATCTAATCAGTAGCTAATGAAATCCTTACAAGAGGTAATTTGTAAGTTTTATATATATGTGAACATACAAACATATACAACACAAGTGCTACATATATATAACATACATAAAACAGTACACATGTGTAACATATATTGCACACACATATATACACTATGTATCATATTTTAAAATATCCCACACAGGAATGTGGGATTTTCATGGAACATTATCTTTGCTATTTACTAGCTAACTAAGCAGTAAGCTTATGTAAGGAACTTAAACCTTTCAAGCCTCCTTGGCAACAATAATATCTACTTCATGGATTTTGAGAGGATTCATTGAGATCTTGTATATAAAGAGACAAACAATAGGGATATGGTAGTTTTGTATTCAAAATTATGACTGATATAATACTAAAGGATACCTTAAACTTTTCACAGACATGAGTGATAAATTCTCTAGATTTGAGAAACTTACAAGATACACGTGATTTGATAATGACATTGTTTATAATTTTTAGAGAAGAAAAATGATCACAGTTTAGAAAATATTGAAAGAATATTAACCAGTATTCAGTAAGCACAAACTCTAACCTGTGACATTTTTTGGTAATTATTGGTAACTCAATCTTTCCTTATCATTAGACAGAAACACAGTGTTTAGCAGAAGGTAGTATGTTTCTGAGTGCTCAGGAAGAGTCCAAGATCTCTGAATAACAGTAGAGAATGGAAAACCTATCACCCATTCTTCTTACCCATGTTCAAATAAATAACAAAAACATTTGATAAATATATAAAAATGAAGGCTTTGTTTATTATAGTCATTAGCATTCTGTTATAGATACTTATATGGTATTACTAAAAGCTTGTGTTGATCCAGATCTAAGGATTAAATTCACTTATGTAAACATTTTTCTTGTTACATGGCACACTCATAAGCAATATGTATTTATAGTTAAATGCACATATACAGATATGTATATATGCACATGTTCACAAATATGTACATATGCACACATGTATATGTGCACATATATATTTAACATAGAATATATCTTTAGATGGACACAATGGCTCATAGTTCTAATCTCATTATAGGTGGAATTAGAGAACTAAGGCCAGTCTAGGCATAGAGTTCATAAGAGTCATCTCAATTGATAAACTAGGCATGGAGGTTCCCAATTACAACCCCAACTACATAGAAGACATTAATAGGAGGAATGTAGTCAGAGGCTAGCCTAGGGCAAATATGTGAGGCTGTATTAAAAAATGATTAAACTAAAATAGGAGTAGGTATTGCAAAAGTGGTATGGTAGACTGTACATCAAGCACAAGCTGATTTCAAAATCTTGAGCTCAAATTTCATAAATAAATGAATAAATGAAATGAATATTTTAAGTAGCTCTTATTTTCAATATCATAATAGTTATTGAAAAAAAGAGCCTTATAGAGCAAAGAGAAAAATCTTAACAGTTATTGTATAAAACTTCATAAAATACAATGCAGAGTTTGGGATGTTTATGTTAGACAAGGTATATCATTATTTTGAAACTGTTGTCAGCTGGATTAAGTTGAGCATATACAAGAATGCTTCTAACCAGTGATGACCCTGTATTGTATGTAGATAAATAATTAAATGATAGATGGATGGATACACAGATAGATAGATATAGATTTAGATTTAGATATAGATATAGATGGTCTCTCACCTACTGGAGTGTAATGAAAAACAAAATTGATTTGTTGAGCTAAAAATAAACCAGACATCAGATTTTATTATTTGTGTTAGTGCAAAAGCTCACAATCATTTTAAACATTATTAATGATGTAAGGTAAGCATGAAAATTACAAACAATTAGAAAAACAATAGCTTGGTTATAAAGCAAGGTAATTACAAATTCTATGTTAGTGCAAATTTATTTCATGGGGTAGTGTGTGATGGTCACATATGTAAACACACTTGCTTACACTTTTGTGTCTGGAAGTTTAGTGATAGACAATTATGAACAGCTTCATAGAGAAGTCACTTTCCTACAGAAAACTTCAGAGAAGAAAGACCCTGATTTTAAATCTGCTTGAAGCTGTGCGGACTTGATTGATGGCTACTTTAGGAAACTTTTTAAGATGAAGATTAAACTGAGCGAGTAGAGGTGAATCTTTACAAGGTCTGACACAAGACAAATTTAAAATTATTAACTACATCAAATGCTAATACATGATTTACTTAAAGCCATGAGGAAATGAAGTAGAGCTTGCCATTTGGAATGTGTTCCCAGTACCAAATAGACAATAGGAAATTGCCACAGAATAAATCACTATTCAACTACATAATAAGGGCTGTGTAGATAATGTTATTAGACAAGACGTGAAGGTAGATAGGGAAAGATAATTAAAGAAACAATTAGAATGCTTCTCAGTACAACAGTAGATATTAAAACAAAATAAATCTCCTGAGAACAAATAGCCATTTGTGGGTTGAACTTTGCTTATGTGTACATATGCACTCATTTCAAATAATACAATTCTATTTTTATGATTACCCCAGGAGCATTGTGTATTCTAATTACCTGACTAGAGACAGAAAATTCACTTAACTACATTGTATTTCATAGAAAAAAATTTGGTAACACTTAGAACACTAAAAATAAATTAGAAAGTACTTAAAATCCATTTAGAGACTGAGTCTTTTTCAAATAATAAAAGAGTTAAATAAAGCATTCTATTAGATTAAAATAGTAGGAATTAACTTCGTTATTTTAAGTTACTATACAACTGTGCCATAACATACCTTCTCATTGTCATGACACAAGTTGGGATATAATGCAAGCTAGCAATATTTTATTTGACTTCAAAAGCAATAGATCTCCAAAGTACTACCAGGTGGTCATTAGTAAAAAACAAAACAAAACAATGTGTCCTACTTACATTGTGAATTTATTATAAAAGAAAAGAGAAATGTGAAACATGAAAGGGAAATACAGTTTTTCAGGAATCATCAATAAATCCATTACACACACATCTATCTATCTATCTATTTATCTATCTATTTATCTATCTATCTGTCTATCTATACAAGAACTATAGTTAAAATTTTTCCTAATCTAGTGACTCTCAGAGAAAATTATTCTTTTTATGTGTTTCATGTGTGTGCTTTGTTTCTTTTTTTTTGAGATAAGTTTTTCTTACATAGATCAAGCTGAACTCAAACTTAGAATTCCTTTTCCTTCAATTCACAAGTGGTGGGCATGGTCCACTACTCTTGAACCTCAGATATAGTTTTTAAAGTCAGAAATTAATAACTTTTTTCTAAGTGCTATAAATATTCTCTTTCCTTCTCTTGATTTATATATGTTCATGAGCATATTATATGTATTTCATGAAAATGTAATATATATACATATATTTCATAGAAATATGATATACACACATACATATATATATCTGTAAATCATTTTAGTTATACATCTATTTCTTTTGTATTCCAATTTAGCTCAGAAGATCTCAGAAGAGAGAAATTTTAGCTTTCCCTCAGGTTAAGGAATTAATTTAGTCTGAATGACTAATTAAGAGAGGAAAGGCAATTGAGAGAAAAAGTAATAATTCACCTATATCTCTTCAGCATCATTAATATAAATAAAAGCCAGAGAATCCAGAGTTTGACATTGTGACTGAATGTTAAAACTTCCCCTATGCAATCTACATATTGTAATAGAAATAATTACCCAACAATTGGTAACATACTCTGTCATTTCAGTCAATAAATAAAACAAAAAAGGAATGACTTATAAATCCTCTGAATATTTTTTAATTTATAAACTGTGAGAAGATTTTTTTTTAGCTAAAGATATTACCAACTGAATAAAAGCAAGGAGAAAGAAATTTAGTCTCTTGAAGGAAGGATGCTCCATGACATGAAATCTGTACTATGTTTATCCTTTCTCCTTGGGACTGTCAATCCATGCAGTGCCAGAAAGGTAGAGCCCAAAATGAAAAGCCTCAGCCTTTCTGGTATGGTGGGCTAGAGTTCAGAGTTCATAGACAGACAGACAGACAGACAGATAGATTAGATACATAGATAGATCTTTGATAACTTAGAACTTCTGTCCAGAATAAACAACTCCTACTAATCAGTAATA